AATTGTACCTGTATATAGAACGTATATTGTAAATTTTCACAGATATAAGTATGTGTGTAGTTGAACATATATTCATACGTAATTAGCAGTAACTAATTATTTAAATAATCTCTGTTAAGAAAAATATAAAAAATTAACGATGTAACAAAATCGAATGCAGAAATTCATGTAAATTTATAAACGTTTAATTGGATGCTTATTTTCTAAAATTGGCAATTGTTCTTTCTAAATTAAACTACTAAATTTTGTAAATTAGAATTTTTCGGACTTTATATAAGTTTTTATACTTAGTCTTTTTAAAGAAAAAAAACCTTGGAAAGTAATTAATTAAACACGGAAACAAAAACTTGATTTTAAAAACCAAAAAGAAGAAAAAAAAAATAACATTTCACATTCAGCTGAGCTTTGTTTAATCAAACAGTTGAGAAAATCAATTTATAAATGAAGAAACAGAAAAAAGGCTGACCTAAAATTTTAAAATCTTTTACATACTTAACACCATTAACATATATTTTTAATTATAATATTTATTTTTTTTGTACGTTGATAATAGTTCTTAATGAATTATTTTAGTTTCCAATTAAAGAAACAATTTATTTAATGAAACGAAAGTAATACATCTGAATTGAAAAATCTAAAAAATATTTCGAAACTTTAAGTAATTAATATAAAATACATTTCTTTTATATAAAATTTTAGTTACTTAGATTTATTTTATATAAAAACTTTAGAAATTTACATTTAATCTTAAAAAATGCTCTTTAATCTGAAGTATAAATAATAGAAAGAAAAAGAAAAATTTCTATGAATAAATTACGTTTACAGATGTTGTATTTTTTTTAAATATAAGATTTTTAGAAAATTCCTTTTAGAAAACGATTCGGCATTCGTTAAACGTTTATAGAAATGGAAATAAATTTCATAATCTATTTTTAATTATTGAAATGATCTATAAGAACCTTTACGGCGTATTCCGTCCATTGTGATATGTTTTAAATAGCTTTAAAAATTATTTTAGGTTTTGTTAAACTGAAAACCAATCAGAAAATTTGTTTCTGATTTAAAAACTGTTAAAGTATAAATCGAAACATTTACTTATTGTATTTTTCGTGTACGGAAATATGTTTTGCAATAATCGGATCCATTTTTTATTTCATATATAAATTAAAAATACTTATAAATAGATATTATTCTGATTGAATAGTAAAAAATTATACAGATCACATCTTAAACTTGCACACAACGACACATTTAGTAACGCAACATTTACATATAATTTACAGTTAAACCTCTGAACAACGGCCATTGACACCGGAATATAAAAAGTAACCGTTGTTTGGAGGTTATTTTTGTATGATTTTTGTTAGAAAATTACTGAAAAAATGGCCGTTGCTCTAAGATAGCCATTATTGGAAGCTTGACTATATTATGATTTACATTAACTTGGCTTCCTTCTATATTAACTATTATTACCGATTTGTGTATGATTTTAAAAGCTCTCATATCTATCTATCATTTTGTCAGTTTATTGAAAATTTGGATTTTTTCGATGTACTTCATCCCAGTATGTAATTTTATGCAAAATGTTATTTAAAAATTTTAAAAAATATTCAACTTATCTACCGATAAAACTATTAAACTATTTAAAGGAAGATTTTTACGAATTACCTCTTACAGATATGATAAATAATAATAATAATGAACACATATCTTATGTCTTATTTTAAAATTATATTTAAAAAAAAATATTTGATAAATAGAAGTACTTACAATGCAAGAGTTTTAAATGTATGATTTATATCATATATTATTTCGAAATTACTTTTTAAAGTAGCTTAATGTCCGGCAACAGATAATAAAGAAATGGAACGTAACATATTTTATTATGATGAAGTAAAATAAGTAAAAAAATTTTATTGCCAATATGCATTAGTATGAGCCAGCAAATTTATATTCAATCCAATAATCATATTTCGTCAAGAGAATGTAATGTATGAATTAGGAAAATAATATAACTAAGAAACGTTGAAATTTATAGATTTTTTTTAGAATGTATACATTTTTAACCAATCATCTCGATGTTTGTATTAAAACCGGAGGAATTTATTACTATATTAATATAATTTACATGTAATAGCTTTCGTTATAGAAAGCGAATTTTAAAAAGCTGACAAGTGTTCTTGCATGACTTTCTCGAGAATAGAACAGACGTTTAAGCCTTATTTTAGGACAGGAATAAGATTTTCTTTTTAAAAAATGTAAATGTTAATAACGCTTGTTTTCAATAAGCTAAAATCTCGTACGGATAAAATTTTCATTAAGTCCGACCTTACACGAAATGTGACTACTATTATCATCTATCTCTCCTTCCCTTGACTTATAATCTCCAAACTGTAATAGCATTAATGCCCCATAGATGGAAGTATTCCTGTCAAATTTTAAAATTTTTGCTGTAAGCGGTCTTGAGATATAAAGCAAACTACGGGTCACACACATATACGCATATCGATATATAGTGTTTCTCTTTCTCTTTCTCTCTCATTATTATTATTATTTTGTAATGAGGAGACTTTAAAGCCCTGAAAGTCAAATTTAACAGATTACAATGCTTTACTTCATGTTATTTTATAACATTTGGAAAATAATACTTTAAGTTCGAACGTTTAAACGCCTTACATCTTCATCAACTTTGAATAAAATCGATAAAAGAATCGTATAAAATACTTTTTAATATAATTTTAAAACAAAAAATAATATTTTAAGATAAAATTTAATTAAGATTTCAATAAGATAAAAATAAAAATCCACATTAATAAAGTATATAATTAAGAATCGAAATTAATTAACTTGAATATGTTTCAAAGCTATAATGAGATAATAAAATGCCAGCAGCAACTTTTATCATTTTCTTCGAAATGATTTATATAGATTTCTAGTTCCGAACATTATAATTTACATTTATAAATTTAAAAAAATATTCTCTTCTTGTATTGTTAAACAGAGAATGGATTATTGATAAATTATATTATTATTGAATATACTTTCACCATCTTTCTCTTATAATTTTATACAGATCTTTTTAAAATCTCATATTAAAGATTTTAAAAAATTATTAATATATAATATATTATTAAAATATTATTTTATTTTAAAACGTTTATATAAAAAATGTATTATTAATGATATAAAAAAGTAACAAAGAAAAAACATTTTATTACATTACTATAC